TGGTCGTTTGTGTTTCCATATGAATTCCTGTGTTGTTTTTTCTAGGTCTGAGAAGAATGTTGCTGGTAATTTAATAGGTATTGCATTGAGTCTGTAGATTACCTTAGGTAAGATGGACATCTTCACAATGTTTATTTTTCGAATCCATGAGCAGGGGATATTTTTCCACTTGTTTGTGTCATCTTTGATTTCTTTGAGCAGAGTTTTGTAGTTTTCATTGTAAAGCTCTTTCATGTCTCTGGTTAGGAAGATGCCAAGGTATTTCCTTTTTTTTGTGGCTATTTTGAATGGAATTGTGCTTCTTATTTGGGTTTCTGTTTGTTTATTATTGGTGTAAAGAAATGCGATTGTCTTTTGCACATTTATTTTATATCCTGAGCCTTTGCTGAAGGCCTTTATCAGTGTAAGGAGGTTTTTGACAGATTTTCTTGGGTTTTCAAGATATACGATCATGTCATCTGCAAAGGGAGATAATTTGACTTCCTCTTTTCCTATTTGGATACCCCTAATTGCCTCCTCTTCTCTGATTGCTCTAGCCACGACTTCCAATACTATATTGAACAGGAGGGTTGAGAGTGGGCATCCTTGTCTTGTTCCAGTGTTCAGGGGAAATGTTTCCAATTTTTGTCCATTTAGGAGTATGCTGGCTTTGCGTTTCTTGTAGATGACTTTTACTACTTTGAGGTATGTTCCCTGTATGCCTAGATATTCGAGAGTTTTTTTTGCATCTAATGATATAATCATGTGGTTTTTGTTTTGACATCTGTTGATGTATTTAATTACATTTATTGTTTTACGAATGTTGAACTAGCCTTGCATCCCAGGGATGAAGCCTACTTGGTCATAATGGATGATTTTTGAGATGTGTTGTTGAATCCGGTTTGCTAGGATCTTGTTGAGAATTTTAATGTCTATGTTCAGCAAAGATATTGGCCTGTAGTTCTCTTTTTTTGTTGGATCTTTACCTCGCTTGGGTATCAATGTGATGTTAGCTTCATAAAATTATTTGGGGAGGGTTCCATCTTTCTCAGTCGCCTGAAATAGCTTCAATAGGATTGGAATCAGTTCCTTCTTAAATGTCTTGTAGAATTCTGCTGGAAAGCCATCTAGTCCAGGGCTTTTTTTTTTTTGGTAGGTAGTTTTCTTATTATATTCAATTTCCTTGATTGTTATTGGTCTATTTAGGGTCTCAATTTCTTCTTGTTTCAACCTAGGCAGGTTGTGTGATGACAGAAAGTCCTCCATTTCCTTAAGGCTTTCCTGTTTGGTTCCATACAAGTGTATGTAGTAGTCTCTAATGATCTTTTGTATTTCTTCAGGGTCAGATGTGACTTCATCTTTTGTGTTTCTGATTATGCTTATTTGGTTTTTTTCTCATTTTTTCTTGGTCAGTCTAGCTAGGGGACCATCGATCTTGTTTATCCTTTCGAAGAACCAGCTTTTTGTTTCATTGATTTTTTGTATTATCTTTTTGTCTTCTATGTCCTGGATTTGGGCTTTTATTTTGGTGATCTGGATTCTTCTGCTGAAATTAGGGTTTTTGTGTTCTTGCTTTTCCAGCTTCTTTAGGTGGCTTGTTAGGTTGTGAATTTCTGTTGCTTCCATTTTCTTCATGTGTGTTTGTAGGGATATAAATTCCCCTGTTACTACAGCTTTTAAGGTGTTCCAGAGATTCTGGTAAGATGTTTCTTCATTTTCATTTGTTTCCAGATATCTTTTGATCCCTGTTTTGGTTTCATCATTGACCAGGAGTTGTTTAGCATCATGCTGTTTAGTGTCCATGTCTTTGTGGGTTTTGGTGACACCTTGTTGGTGTTGATGTTTATTTTTATTCCAATGTGGTCCGAGAAAATGCATGCTAGATTTTCGGTCCTTTTAAATTTGCTTATGCTTGATTTATGGCCGATAATGTGGTCGATCTTGGAATACGTCCCGTGTGGTGATGAGTAGAATGTGTATTCTCTGGCCTTTGGGTGGGGTGTTCTGTAGGTATCAATTAAGTCCATTTGGTCCAGAGTCACATTGATGTTCCGGATCTCATTGCTGATTTTTTGTCCCTATGATCTGTCGAGGGTTGTGAGTGGGGTCTTAAAGTCCCCAGTTATGGTGGTGTTAGAGTCAATATCTTTCTTTAGTTTTCCTAGGAGTTGCTTTACAAAAGTTGGTGCACCTATGTTAAGTGCATATATGTTTAGGATAGATATTTCTTGTTGATGGAGTGAACCTTTTATCATTATGTAGTGGCCCTCTGTATCTTTTTAAATTTTTGATAGAAATGGTATTTTGTCTGAAATTAGGATCGCGACTCCTCCTTTCTTTTGTGTTCCATTCACCTGGAAATTTGTTTCCCATCCTCTTACTTTGAGTCTGTAAGTGTCCTTTCTAGTGAGATGGGTTCTCTTTAAGGCAGTATATTGTTGCCTGGTGATATTTTGTCCATGTCTTTTCAGTGGTGCATTTAGTCTATTCACATTAAGGCTAATTATTGAAATGTGAGAGTTCGTCCCTATCATAAAGTTCTTATAGCGTTGTTCCTCCACTTGATTTATTGTCTTTCTATTGTTTTGGGGGTTGGTTCATGTGTATTTTATTCTTTTTCCTGTACTCTTGTGAAGAACGTTGCTCCTTTTTTCCCCTTTTCTTCTGTGTTTAGTACTTTCTTAAGTGTTTCATGTAGTGGTGATTTGGTGGCAGCGTAAGTTCTTAGGGATTGGATATCTGGGAAAGATTTTAATTCTCCCTCGTTGATGAAGCTTAATCTGGCAGGGTAGGTTATTCTTGGTTGAAGTTGTTTATCTTTTAGGACTTTGAAGATAGGGCTCCAAGCTCTCCTAGCCTGCAGGGTTTCTGTAGTTAAATCTGCTGCTATTCTGATTGGTCTTCCATGGTAGGTGTTCTGGCCTTTTTCTCTTGCTGCCTCTAAGATTTTTTCTTTTATGCCTACTTTGTTTAGGCGAATTATTATGTGTCTAGAAGTTGGTTTTCTCATTTGTTGTCTTGCAGGGGTTCTCTTGATCTCTTGTATTTGAATTTTTGCATCAATGATTAGATAAGGGAAGTTTTCTTGAATGATCTCATGGAAGGTTTGTTCCAATGTGGTCTCTGTCTCTCTTTCTGCCTCAGGCACACCAATTACTCTTAGGTTAGGCTTCTTGAGGTAATCATTCATCTTTTGAAGGTTTTTTTCCGTGTTTTTGAGCTTGTTTTCCGTGTTTTTGAGAGTTTGGGTTAGTTCTGTATTTTGGTCCTCAAGCTCTGAGATTCTTTCTTCTGCTTGGGTAATTCTGCTTTCCATGCTGATATCAGTTTGTTGTTTATTTCATTCACAGTATTCTTTATTACTGTTATTTCAGATATCAGCTTCTTTCTGGTTTCTTCTTGAGTTTCCTCAATTCTTTTTAATCTCTCCATTAATGTCTTGATGTCTAGGTTTGTATTTTGAGACCAGTCATTCTGGGGGGTCTTCATTGTTTGCATTCTGAAGTCAGTTTTATCAGTGTCTGCCCACCCAGGAGTCTGGGAGAGACCTATATTCTTCTTTTGGTTTTTCTTCATTTGTGTAGATTTTTCTCTCTCATTCCTTAGTGGATAAAATTCCTTGAGTTCTAATCTCTAGCCTCTCCCCTCTGTTTTTGTTGCAGGCAGGCAGTCAGTTAGCTTGTTGCCTGGGAAATCTGTGACACTGGTCTCTATTCAGCGTAGAGGAGGGCTTTGTCTCCTGTTTAATGACGTCACCGTGGGAACTGAGGTGGAGGCTCTGATAGGTGGGCGGGGCGATGTGATGTAAATATGCCTTGAAAATGGCAGAGGTGGTAGTTTTCCTTTCACTTTTAGGTATGCTCCTGTGGGACTCTAAGTGGGACCAACTGCACAGCTGGGCGCTGGATCCAGGGTGCTACCAGCAGGTTGGAGTGGGGGAGAGGGTCGAGCGTTTCCTCCTCTGGAGTTGGAAGTCTGTAGTTGGCACCTTACACCAGCTTGGGGTTCTTCCCCCTTACACAGGCTTGTGATCGCATGCTGAGTGCCTCAGCCAGGGTGGGCCCCGGGCTTCAGATCTCCAAAGCTCCAGGGGGCAGGTGGTGGCTCCAGGTCCCTCACAGGGCACTTTAGCCAGAAATGGAACCGGTATCTCTGAGGGGCAGGCGCTCAGAGCCTCTCAGAGCCTCCTTGCGTGACCGGCAGCTTGGCGCTGGGTGCTGGTCGTGATGATGTAGCCAGGGATGGAGCTGGGATCTGGGATTTGGGATTCCCCAGCCAGCCAAAATCACATATAGTGGAGCAGCTGCAGTCCGGCTGCAATGTCTGGCCCTGCGTGGGACCAAAAGTCCCCAGGCCTCGTACCAGTGCGGCTGGCAGTGGGCAGGGGGGTGCTGGAAGAAAAGTAATAGTCTTTTTGGGAACTCACGTTCGAGAGTCTCAGGGATCCACCTATGCCGTCGCCATCTTCAGGTTGCCAATTTCATAAATTATTTCTTAAACTATAGATCTCTCTATTTATTTCTCTTTGGATAATCATATTCCTGTGTTCAAATTCAGCTCTCAATTATGGTATAACTTTAGACCTCTATACCTCAATTTCCTACCTGTGAAATGGGAATAAAATTAGTACCACTTCAACCCAGAGGTTTGTTGTGAGAATTAAGTAGATTAATATATATAAAGTGCTTAGAATGGTGCCTGGTGCCAGGGAAACACTCAGTAAAAATAAATAATTATTTATTGTATATAAATAATTAAAATGATAAATAATGCATAATGATTATTCCCCAAAGTTCATGTTATTGGTTTACTCTATGTAGATTTACTGTTTACAAAATTATTTACTGAGTTTTATTGTTTGTAAATTCCTTTATTGTCTGTTTTTAAAAAATTGTTATCCTTTCCTAATATTATAAAATGAAAACCACCAGCCTTTCACTGGATCCTGTATATTTTGAGTTGTCATGTGGTTTATCTTATAAAACATAAAAAATATTTTTTCCTTCTAACCCCAATCTTAGGGATGACAGAAATTTAAGAAACAAAGGCCTAATAAGTGGTGTGAAGTCACTCAGTAAAGAAGAATTGAGTGCAGAGTTATTAAACATGTCTCTGAACACAGATGTATGTCATCAGCCTTGTATTTCTAAGCAACAGTTGAAAGCAGGTAGTATTCTTACTGTAAATAATTAGAAATATATCTTATTTTATGCACTAAGAATATAACATTAGAATTTAAAGTAAATTTTCCTCTTGTACATTTAAAATAGCATCAAGTTTAGAATGCTTTCTGGCATGTAAATAGTAGAAATAAATGAAAATTATAATAGTAATCCAAGAGAAAACATAATTTTAACATTATTTAATATTATCACCTTTTATATATCAAAACAGTTTGATTTTTTGATCCCTACAGTCACATCATTTTTGCATATTTATAATCCTTGTGTACATGCTTTTTTCACCTTCGTTTTCTCCAAGTGAAACAGTATACCTTTTAAATTAATAGCAGATATAGGAAATAGTCCTTTGAAGTAGAAAAACTTTTTAAATTTCTTTTAAAAATTAGTTTCATGTTTATAACCTCCCATTTATACAGTAAAAACTCAGTAATAGGGAAACTTTTTTTTTTTTGAGTTGGAGTCTCACTCTGTCACCCAGGCTAGAGTACAGTGGCACGCTCACAGCCACACTAGCGTCAACCTGCTGGGTTCAGGAGATCCTTCTGCCTCAGCCTTCTAAGTAGCCAGAACTAAAGGCATGTGCTACTACGCCTGGCTGATTTTTTAAAAAAATTATTTATTGTAGAGACAAGGTCTCACCATGTTGCCCAGACTGGTCTTGAACCTGAGCGCTGAGGCTATCCTCTTGCCTCAGCCCCCCAAAGTGCTGAGATTACAGGCAGTAATAGGGAAACTTACAGAACTCTAGTAATAATTTTCTTTTTTTAACTTTTAAACTAATAATTTAGAAAAGTAAAGGCAATACATTATTTCATCTCTTTTAATCTGTCTGCAGCTTATATTTGATGGAATATTATGTTAAATCTGACATTATTTATAAATACATCCCACCTTTTCCTTCTGGGTAGAATAATTGTTGAAGTCTCTGATACCATGTTTATTTTATATATAACTGTATACATGTTCATATATACTCATATGCCACTTATTTATCCCTTTAAAATAACATACCCTTTGTCATAATATTCAAACAGCATTTGAAGAAGTATTCTAGAAGGGTATTCTAGTTTATGGTTTTTCAGAAATAGTGTGCTTTCAATTTGCCTGTTATATTAACCATTACTTTAAATTCTTAGTTTGCATTTGTAGAGATAAGCCACTTAATATTTTTAATTTTACCATAAGAAAATTCTAGTTGTTTTCACATTTCTAAAAAGTAATGTTAATGAAGTGACATCACTTGAAATAATTAAAGCTCTTTTTAAAAGAGGAGGGCATAGTCCATGTGCAGAAACTTTGGGAGGCCAAAATGGGAAGTTTGCTGAAGGCGAGGAGTTCAACACCAGCCTGGTCAACATAGCAAGACCCCATCTTTCTTTCTCTCTCAAAAACAAAACAAAACACAGTAACAATCATAAATAAAAGGGTATGAAAGTGGTTAAGCTGGAAATTTATTGATGGAGCTGAGTTTAGAAAAATATTCCATTTTGGCGAAAAAAACCCCATTTTGATCCCCAGCTCTTGTTTTTGTGTTGTAAATAAATACCAAGGCATTCTTTTTTTGCAAAGTAATTAAATTGTAATTAAAATACCACATTTCTTACTATTTTTGAGTAAAAATATTTAGTTGCTTTTTGGTAAAAATAGATTACTTTGCATTTGCTAAAATAATATATTTATATTATAGTTAAAACATCTATAATAGAGATGTATTTTTTTGTTTTTGTTTTTTTTTGAGTTGGAGTCTCACTCTGTCACCCAGACTGGAGTGCAGTGGCTGCTCCCGGCCACTGCAACCTTGACCTGCTGGGCTCCAGCAATCCTTCCACCTCAGCCTTTCAAGTAGCTGGAACTACAGGTGCGGGCTACCACGCCCGGCTAATTTTTTTGATTTATTGTAGAGATGAGGTCTCGCCAAGTTGCCCAGGTGGGTCTCGAACCCACGGGCTCAGGCAATCCACTCACCTCAGCCTCCCAAAGTGCGGGATTACAGGCTGAGCCACTGAGCCTGGTGAGATGTATGTTTCTTAAGTGCTATTTTGAAAATAAAGTCTTGGTTTGTTTTCTAGATAATTCAAATACTAATTATGTACATAAAATGTGTATTATTTGTGGCCAAATACTAACTACATATGTTTAATATTTACTATTAGCACCCTAAATAAAGCCTGTAACTATCTGTTTTAAAGAAGCAACACCCTTGGAAGAGAGTTGTGGGGATGAATCTACAAATTCTGGACTGTCTATTCTACTTGAAAGCATCATATCTGATCTTGAAAAATCTCTTGGAACAGCTTTATCCTCAATATTAGAAACAGAAATGAAAATTGCTTTTGGAAACCTCTGGATGGAGGTGATTAGTTGACCTCTATTAGTTGAAATTTTTATTGCTGAAGATGTGTTATCTTATTTTAAGAAATCACCTTTATGAAATATATAAACTTTATCGTAATAATTTATATCGCATTAAACTTCTTTCCAAGTTTTTGAAATAACTTTTTGACGTGAAATGATGGACCTCTTTTAAAGGTTAGAAATATGTGTTGTCATTTGTTTTTTTAGTCAACAGCTATTTATTGTGTCAGATGCACTCTTGTCAGATGCACTGTCCCATAGTGCTTAAATTGAATTCAGAAAAAATTTCTCTCATTTAGTTTAATTTGAGTCAAAATGTCTAGTATAAGGCAGGGGTCCCCAACCCCAGGGCCACATACCAAGACAGACCCATGGCCTGTTAGGAGCTGGGCCACACAGTAGGAGTTGAGCAGCAGGTGAGTGAACGAAGCTTCATTTGTGTTCATAGCCACTCTCCATCACTGGCATTACTGCTTGAGCTCCATCATCTGTCATATTAGTGGTGGCATTAGATTCTCATAGGAGTGCAGACCCTATTGTGTACTGCACATGCAATGGATCTAAGTTTTGTGTTCCTTATGAGAATCTAATGCTTGATGATCTGAGTGGAGCTGAGGTGGTGATAGTAGCACTGGGGAGCAGCTGCAAATGCAAATTAACATTAGCAGTGAGGTTTGACTGCACATTGGTTGTGGACTGCTGGTATAAAGAATCTCCTTAGCAATATATATTCAGAAAAAGCAATGTGTATTTTGGATTATGAAAGAAATTATAAATGAAAGAATCATAGTATAAATTGTTCATATTAGCAAGGTATTTTGAATTTTCTTTAGGTTCATACCTTTTTGGAATGAATAAAAAACACCACATTTAACTGTAGCGATCTTAAAAGTTCTGTTTAATGTTTTCTTTTGCTGTTCACAATTTATAGGTAGGAGAAACATGATTTCCCATCAATTGTAACTTGTTTCTATTCCAGCTATTCAGTGAATTTCTAATGTTTGCCAGTATGTTTGCTACTTGATTATACTATCAAGTGTTGAACCAGAATAATGAAGAGTGATCAGAATTTACTAGGAGCATTGATATTTAATAGTAGAGAAAGTTATTGCATATGAATGAATAGAACTAAATAATTCATTTTCTTTATAAATATGTCTTTGCAAGACATCTTTTTTGATATCTTTTTTCTATATAGATTTCCCCCCAGTTTTATGAAATATTTTGATTGATTTTCTCATAGGAATGACTATGTTGAAAAATAAATTGAAGGACCTTTACTGATTAAAACTATGCTTCCACTGATTAGAACTATGCATTCTTTTTTGAACATATAGGTTCTGAAACTTCAAAGATTAATACTGAGTCTTACAAAAGCAATTTGCAATGGAATTTGCTTTTTAAGATTATGATGGACTTTTTTTTGAATTGGAGTCTCACTCGGTCGCCCAGACTGGAGTGCAGTGGCCACTCCCGGCCCCCGCAGCCTTGCCTGCTGGGCTCCGGCGATCCTTCTGCCTTAGCCTTCCGCGTAGCCAGAATTACAGGCATGTGCTACCACGCCTGGCTGATTTTTTAATTTATTGTAGAGATGAGGTCTCGCTGCCCAGTAGGGTCTCGAACCCGCGGGCTCAGGCAATCCATTCACCTCAGCCTCCCAAAGGCGTGAGATTACAGTCTGAGCCACCGAGCCTGGCAAAATTATGATAGACTTTTTAATAAAATATCTTTTAATTAAAAAGAATTCAACTAATATTTCCTAGGAATATATGTAGGCATTCCTAAGTAGGTACTTTTTAATAATAGGAACAATAAATCCATAGATGCTAATTTTTAAAAAAATGCTCTTTAGATGCTGTACCTGAAACCACCATGGACTCTAATACATTTATTACAGTGCTTTAAAAAACATTGGTTGGCTGTGTTTGGATTAGTTATGGAAAAGAACTTGCTTTTAACTATTGAGAGCCTATACGAAAATCTATGTAAAGGTATGAATCTTTTATTTTTCTCTTTAGCAGTGTCGTATTAAAGTATTAAGTCAGACTAGCAGATATATTCCATGGGATGTAAAGATGAATAAATGAAGAATTTGTCAATTAGTTCTTAACCATTGATACTTTTAATTTCTAAAGAGAATTTGTGACAGCTGGATGGATGGCTGCGGCTCATAGAACTTGTAACTATAATGGCATCCTTGTTCATGATGTTTCTAGATATTGTGATTATATAATTTTTAATCATGTTTACTTTGCAAACTTTTTAAACCATGTTTTATAGTTTATTCAAAATATGCAAATAGATTCTTTTTTTTTCATTTCTCACTGCTTAACACAAACTTTGAGCACATTTCACGTACTAATTTTCAAAATAGTATATCAAGGTTTCTGTCTAAACTACATGGATAAGGAATAGGAAATCTTTGACTTTGGTGCATAGTGAATTTTAGAACTGGAAGAGACCACAGTGAACCATTAATTGGTGATTTTTAAACTATATTGAATAGAACTTTGGGATTCTTGATGTGCCTCTGCTGATACTTATGGGTAGAAAGATTGATGGAGAGCCTAGTAGGTGGTGCCTTTGGTTCTCAGCCCTATCTTTAGCCAGACCAGCTTTTTAAAAAAAAGTTTTCATATGGAGATTTCATGTAGGATTTGAAAAAAAGTATCTCTGCTGAAAAGAAAAAGTTGTGAAAAGCACTAATAAAATATTATTAAAACTTGTGTGTTATGATCAAGGAAACTAGCTCTGAGTTGAAGAGTAGCTTGTGCAAAGTCAAACAGCTAGATATGTCCTGCTATATCTTTAAAAAGGCAAACTATAATCATTGTTAGTGGTTCAGTTGGTTCTTAATTGTTTTCAAAGTCTTCAACATTAAGTGATCTATTCTGTTTATTATTTTATTTATGACATATATCCAGCCTACTTCTAAAACATAAATGTGATGGAGTATATGTTATAACCTGAGTATAAGAGGGCCATTAAATTAAATTTAAGGCATAAGAGCCAGGCAATGAAGAATATGAGATGGTTCATCATAAAACATATGCAAACAATTGTTGCAGCACTTGAGCAAAGATTTTAACACTATTCCTTCTGGAAGCTAAGACAAAAGGGGGGAAGGGGAGGCATATTCTATGATAGATGCACCTCATTGTCTGTCTTTTCCCTGAAGTATAAACTCTTTGAAAATGAGTTGTTCTCATAGAAGTAGAGAGTTAGAAAAGTGATTATCAGAAGATGATGAGGGATGATAGGATGAGATTGGTCAACAGGTACAAAGCCATAGTTAAATAGGAGTAATAATTTCCGGTGTTCTGTTGCATACGAGGAAGAGAAAAGTTAAAAATTATATATTGTATATTTCAAAATGGCTATAAGAGAACTTTTTAAAAAAATGTTTTCATCACAAAGAAATGATAAATGCTTAAGAGTAGGGGTTCCCAATCCCAGTCTGTGGACTAGTAGCAGTCCGTGGCCTGTTAGGAACAGCAGGAGGTGAGTAGCAGGTGAGTAGAGTGCTTTCTGTCATATCAGCAGAGGCATTAGATTCTCATAGGAGCAAAGCTATTTACCCTTATTTAATCATTATGCAATGTGTGTGTGTGTGTGTATATATATATATACACACACACACACACACACACACACATATATGTGTATTAAAACATCAAGCTGTACTTCACAAACATATACAATTATTACGTGTTAATCATAAGTAAAATCAAATAAACCAATCAATAGGAAATCCTTCTAGGGGATTTAAAGCACCTAGTCAGTCCCTTTGTAGATGGGCATAGCTTAGTTGATTCTTTTAAAAGAGAAAGTCCATAGACTATGTGTAATCTCAAACAAAGTTAGTTTAAAAAGTAAGGTATCCTGCGGTGGCCTGGAGTGGCCACTGCACTCCAGTCTGGGCGACGGTGTGAGACTCCAACTCAAAGAAAAAAAAAAGGTATCTAGTTGCCACCTTCAATGGCATTTGTTTTTCCTTGGTAAGGTGCTCTGCTTTTACATGTAGCTGAGAGGTGGTAGGTGGCTGCTCTAACTGGCAGTAAGGAGAGAAGTAAAGATGATGACTGTACCTTCTTATGCTAAAAATCAACTTTTTCAGTCATTGTGTGCATAACTTTTTGGTTCTTAATCTAGAAGAACTGGATGCCTAATGTTTAATGATTTGTGAAGAATACAGCATATGTCATGAGATTATAAACGTACCTCTTGCTCTAAGATAATTTTGAATACAAAAAATCACAGTGTATGGTTTTGTGTGCTATCTTAATAGTATTTTTAGCTGTTGAACTACAAATGTGTTTAGCTTCAGTATGCCAAACATGTATCCTTAGATCAATTCATAGGAAATTTGTTGGAAAACGACTGGTATCTTTTTATGACTTTGTTATTCATATTAACTTTAAAGACTTATTGACCTTATTGCATGTGGATTTCTCTTTTTGCTTTGTCTGTATACTGAATCAATCATTGTTCTTTCCCTTTCCCCATAATCGTTATAAGACAAATCATGATTAATGTAAGGATAGAAGCCTTACTAAACATAGTCTATATTCAAGAAGCGTCCTTAAAGGAAGTTGTGCCATTATATCTTCCTCAGGAGATTTTATTTATTTATTTATTTATTTATTTATTTATTTATTTATTTATTTATTTATTTTGAGTTGGAGTCTCACTCCATCGCCCCAGTTTATTTATTTATTTATTTATTTATTTTGAGTTGGAGTCTCACTCCATCGCCCCGACTGGGGTGCAGTAGCCGCTCCTGGCCACTGCAAGCCTCGACCTGCTCGGCTCCGGTGAACCTTCCGCCTCAGCCTTCCGAGTAGTTGGAACTACAGGCACACGCTACCACGCCTGGCTAATTTTTTTGATTTATTGTAGAGATGAGGTCTCGCCAAGTTGCCCAGATGGGTCTTGAACCTGCGGGCTCAGGTAATTCACTCACCTTGGCCTCCCAAAGCGTGGGATTACAGGCTGAGCCACTCAGCCTGTCCTGGAGATTTTATGGGTTTACTAAATCTGTTGTCTGTCCTTATTTAGCATCTTTCATGTCTCCTTTCCACAGTAATATAAACTAGTCATTTACTTTATTATTATTATATTAGTGGTAGTAGTAGTATTTTCTTTTCTTTTTTTTTTTTTGAGTTGGAGTCTCACTTTGTTGCCCAGGCTGCAGTACAGTGGCTGCTCCCGGCCACTGTAGCCTCGACCTGCTGGGTTCCGGCGATTCTTCTGCCTCAGCCTTCCAAGTAGCTGGAACTACAGGTGTGTGCTATCACGCCCAGCTAGTTTTTATTTATTTATTTATTTATTGTGGAGATGAGGTCTTGCCAAGTTGCCCAGGTGGGTCTCGAACCTGCGGGCTCAGGCAATCCACTCACCTCAGTCTCCCAAAGGCGTGGGATTACAGGCTGAGCCATCGAGCCCAGCTAGTAGTAGTATTTTCAGAGACAGTGTTTCACTTTGTCACCCAGGCTGGGGTACAGTGGCATGATCATAGCTTACTGCAGCCTCAAACTCCTGTGCTCAAATTATGCTTCCACTTCAGTCTCCTGAGTAGCTGGGACTGCAGGTGCTTACCACTACCCCTAGTTTATTTATTACTGTAGAGACAGAGTCTTAACTACATTGCCCAGGCTGCTCTTGAACTCCTGGGTTCAATCTCCCAGAGTGCTGGGATTATAGGTATTAGCCACTGTACCCAGCCTCTGTCATTGGCTTTGAAAAGAACTAAAAGTATTTCTGTAAGGAAATATACTGGTGTTTTTTTGAGGGGATAGGAGGGTATAGGAGAAACCAGAGGCTTGGGTATAACCACACATTAGAGCTTCTGAATATTTTAGAATTAAATATTAAAATATATTTTTTATTTCATTTGACCCTTCAGGGTTTCACAAGCCAGTTCTGGTGTGTAAGTGTTAAAGAGGAACTCTGTTTTCTTAAAACTCATGCCAATGAACAACCAACCGTACTTATATCTCAGAATATAATTGAGTCTCTAAAACTGTGAACATCAAAACAAAAACAAGCAAACATGTTATAACATGTTTATTTTGAGAACTGTTATGTAGCATTCTGCGTTAATAATATTTGCAAGCGGGGCTCGGTGGCTCAGCCTATAATCCCGCGCCTTTGGGAGGCTGAGGTGAATGGATTGCCTGAGCCCGCAGGTTCGTGACCTGCCTGGGCAGTGAGACCTCATCTCTACAATAAATCAAAAAATCAGCCGGGCATGGTAGCGCATGCCTGTAATTCCAGCTACTCGGAAGGCTGAGGCAAAAGGATCGCCGGAGGCCAGCAGGTCAAGGCTGCGGTGGCGGGGAGCGGCCACTGCACTCCAGTCTGGGCGACAGAGTGAGACTCCAACTCAAAAAAAAAAAAATAATAGTAATAATAATATTTGCAGAGGTAAGGTAGTGTTGGAATACTATCTAAAGTCGCCAATTAATATGTCTTTAGAGACGGATCTAGCAGACAACAGTTGGTAAGGATAATTATAATTTTAACTTATTCTAACGTACTAAAGGCATTAAGTAAATAATAAATGGAGGGTGAGCAGCTCTCTTAATGGAAATAATTTTTCTATTCTGAGTGGGTTGTGTCATTAAAAAGTTACTTAATTTCATTGTTTATAACTTTTTAAATCTTTGAAATTATTGTCACTATCTCTCCTAACTAGTTTGAGAAGTTAATGCAAGGTATTTTAGTTCATCGAGAGAAAATTATTATACCTTTAAATTATTTTTTTGTAGATTATCTAACCTTAATTTACAGGAAAAACATTCTGCAGGATTCTCTTGCTTCTTACTCTTGCCTAAATTGTTTACTTTTTTGCTGTTGTCTTATATACATAGAGATAACACATTTTTTCAGAAACTCTAGTATTGAGTATCATGTAATAGAATTAAATATGTCACTACATGATAACTGAGTTGATTATGAGAGGTACTGCATGTAAGGTACATGCTTAATTACTAAAACATGATTCTTCTGGTAATCTGTATATAAAACAGCCACAGGTTTGAAAATCTGTGGTTTGACTTATTTATTTGGTGATTATTCCTCTTTGCTGAAGAATGTAATATTCTTTCACTTTACTTTTACTTTGAAGGTTAACCACAATAGGACTCCTGAAATCTGAATGCGTAATACCGGAATCAACTTGGAGGACTTTGTCTATAACTAAATCTGTTTAATTGTTGCTCTTTACACCAAGGGATGAGTTAGAGGTGGCATGTAGATGTAAATGCATACTCTTCTTAAATTTCAAAATTAATGTTAGATCAGGGTTCCAAAGACATTTTAATGATGTAAATACATTCTTACATAGTTTTATTTCTTAATTTTCTGTTACCAGCTAATAATGCAGTGGATTTTACAACAGTGAAATTCCTGCTTCAGGATTCTAAAAGTTTGTTGCATGCTTTCAGCACAAGGTCAAATTATGATGGCATTCTTCCACAAGCCTTTGCCCAAGTAAACAAACTGCTCCAAACATTTGCAGAGGTAAGATAGTGCTGTAATGTGATCTAAAGTAGCCAATTAATACATTCTAAAGATATATCTATCAGACAAAAACAGTTGGTAAGGATAATTTAATTTTAACTTATCTAGCATACTAAAGGCATAAAGTAAATAGTATATCAATTGAATGGAGAGTGAGCTCCTCTTATCAAGTTATACACATCTTTTTATGGAAGTTGTATCTCTACAGTTGTTGGTATTTTATATTATTTCATTTATGGATAGAAGAAGACTATTTATAGTTACTTGACTTAGTTTCAGTGCCCTAGGACAGTGGATCTCATATGCATCAAAAACACTTAGGAAATTTTTTTAAACATGCAGATGCCAAGACTCTCTCAAATCCTACTGAATCATATTTTTGACTGTGGTGCCCAGTAATGTTGTTCTTATTTTACTTTGTATTTTGAAATAATTTCAAACTTATGAAAAAGTTACAAGAGCTTTACAGAGAACTCCCATATATATCCTTCACCCTGATCCACAGAATGTTAACATGTCCTCACATTTGCTTTATTGTTTTCCCTATCTTCCTACCTACACACTTGTCTGTCTACCTATCCATATTTTTTTTCTGAGTTATTTTACTATTTTATTTTATTTTTAGAGTCAGGTTCTTGCTCTGTGGTCCATGCTGGAGTACAGTGGTATGATCATAGCTCACTGCAGTCTCAAATTCCTGGGCTCAGTTGATCCCCCTGCCTCAGGCTCCCAGTAACTGGAACTACAGGCTCATGCCACTGTTCCTGGCTTATTATTTTATTTTTTTGTAGAGATGGGGGTCTTGCTTTATTGCTTAGGTTGGTCTCAAACTCCTGGCCTCAAGTGATTCTCCTCCCTTGACCTCCCAAAGTGTTGGGATTATAGGTGTGAGCCACTGCGTCTGGCCGTGTTTGAGAGTGTGTTGCAGATATGATGCCCCCTTTACCTCTCTAAATATTTCCATATGTATTTCCTTAGAAATAATTATATCTTATGTAAATACAGTATAATTAATCAAGAAATTAACATTGCTATAATAGTTATCTCATCTGTGAAACTTATCCAAACTTCGCCAAATGACAAGATTTTTTTTGCTTTTTTTTAGACAGGGTCAATGGCACGATCATGACTCACTGCAGCCTTGAATTCCTGGGCTCCAGTGAGTCTCCTGCCTCAGCCTCCCAAGTAACTGGGACTGCAGGTGTACACCACCATGGCCAACTAATTTTTCTATTTTTTTATAGAGACAGGATCTTGCCCAGGCTTGTTTCAAACTTGTGGTCTCAAGTGATCCTTTCACTTTAGTCTCCCAAACTGCTAGGATTACAGATGTGAGTCACCTCAGCTGGCTTGAATTTTTTTAAAAAACAAATATCGTGGGATTTTTTTGCAGCCACCCTAATGCTGATGCCTTTGCACCTTTTATTTATTTATTTATTTTATTTATTTATGTTTTGAGTTGGAGTCTCACTCTGTCACCCATACTGGAGTGCAGTGGCCGCTCCCGGCCACCGCAGCCTCTACCTGCTGGGTTCCAGCGATCCTTCCGCCTCAGCCTTCCGAGTAGCCGGAACTACAGGCACGCGCTACCACACCCGGCTGATTTTTGATTTATTGTAGAGACGAGATCTCGCCAAGTTGCCCAGGCGGGTCTCGAACCCGCGGGCTCAGGCAATCCACTCACCTCAGCCTCCCAAAGGCGTGGGATTACAGGCTGAGCCACCGAGCGCGGCTGCCTTTGCACCTTTTAAAAACTTAACTGTGTAAATTTTGTCTCCAGTAATACTCTATTTCTACAGTCTTCTAATTTCAAATCTAGAAGAATCTGGAAGTTTTATATGCCAGAAACAGCTCAAAAAAACCTCAGTATCACAACTACTAGAGGAAATATTAATGAGGTTTTTATCCAATATAGATAACATATTCTCTTCTTTCTTTGAGGAGCTGATTTGGCCAGGTTTTCTTTATTGATTTTTCATGGTCAGATAGGCTTACTACCTATGAAATAATCAAATAATTAGATTATATTTAGTCATAGTTGGTGAGGAGAAGAAGCATCTTTTTTATAAACTAATAATTGTGTGAAAAAAAATTTTTTTTAAGAAAGCAGGATTTATTGAGAGGATGGAAAAGCTCCCATAGTGGGAGGGGACCCAAGGGGGTCGCGATATTTCTTGAGGAAATAATTGATTTGAAGGGTGATGTGATCTTTTGGTTTGAGGTGACCAAAACATTGGTAGTTTTGGCCGGGCGTGGTGGCTCCTGCCTGTAATCTCAGCACATTGGGAGGCTGAGGTGAGAGAATTGCCTGAGCTCAGGGGTTCGAGATCAGCCTGGACAACTTGGTGAGACCTTGTCTCCGCAATAAGTCAAAAAAATTAGCTGGGCGTGGTGGCGCACACCTGTAGTTTCAGCTACTTGGAAGGCGGAGGCGGGAGGATCTCCTGAGCCCAGCAGGTTGAGGCTGCAGTGACTGTGAGCAATGCCAGTACACTCCAGTCTGGGCGACAGAGTAAGACTCTGACTCAAAAAAAAAAAATTATTTATTTTTATATGGTAAGTGTGGTCTATTCTTTCCTACCAAGAAACAAATATTATCCTTTCCCATCACAGAACTGAGTTATTTTTTCTTTTCTTTTTCCTTTTTTTTTTTTGAGTCAGAGTTTTACTCACCCAGACTAGAGTACAGTGGCATTATTATAGCTAAAACAGCCTTGATCTCCTGGTGTCAGGCTGTCCTTCCATCCCAGTCTTCCAAATAGCTGGGACTACAGGCATGCGCCACCACACTGGCTAACTTTTTTGATTTATTATAGAGAAAGAGGTCTTGCCATGTTGCCTAGAGTAGTCTCCTGGGCTCAGACATCCCTCTCACATTGGTCTCACAAAGTGCTGGTATCGATTACAGGTGTGAGCCAGTGCACATAGCCAGAATTGAGTTCTAAATCGTATCTTCAGTGAAACAAATGTGGTGAACAAAATTGAAAGTTTGGGATATGTACAGCCTTAATAAATCATTAAGATTATTGAGGATAAAACAAACTTTAGGATTGATTGAGATAAAAATAATGTCAAATTTTAATTCTTCAAGCCGGGCTTGGTGGCTCAGCCTGTAATCCTGCGCTTTGGGAAGCTGAGGTGAGTGGATTGCTTGAGCCCATGGGTTCGAGACCCGCCTGGGCAACTTGGCGAGACGTCTTTACAATAAATCAAAAATTAGATGGGTGTGGTAGTGTGCGCCTGTAGTTCCAGCTACGTGGAAGGCTGAGGCGGAAGGATTGCTGGAGCCCAGCAGGTCGAGGCTGCGGTGGCCGCGAGCGGCTACTGCACTGCAGTCTGGGCAACAGAGGGAGACTCCAACTCAAAAAAAAATGTATATTTTAATTCTTCATCAGTTAGAAACCTAGAGATGGGAGATACCATAAAAATGTGATGTTTAAATTTAATTGTTGATTAGAAAATGGTATATCTGCAATATTGCCTTCTACATATTTATTTATTTATTTATTTATTTAATTAATTTATTTTTTGAGTTGGAGGCTCACTCTGTCGCCTCGACCTGCCGGGCTCCAGTGATCCTTCCGCCTCAGCCTTCCAAGTAGCCGGAATTACAGGCGCGCGCTACCACACCTGGCTGATTTTTTGATTTATTGTAGAGATGAGGTCTCGCTGCCCAGGTGGGTCTCAAACCCGCAGGCTCAGGCAATTCACTCACCTCGGCCTCCCAAAGCATGGGATTACAGGCTGAGCCACCGAGCCCGGCTTCCCTCTATATATTTAAATCATTGAATTGTTATTTATAAAGTTATCTATTCCTGGATCTTGAATTTTCAGTTGCTACAATAGCAAGAGATTCAGGAAGGCTAGTAACAAATTTTATTTTTATTTTTTGTAGAGACCAAATCTCACTATGCTGCCCTTGCTGTCCTTGAACTCCTGGCCTCAAGTAATCCTCCCACCTCAACTTCCCAAAGTACTGGGATTACAGGCATGAACCACTGCACCTGGCCAAAATATATTTTTAACAGGAGTCATTTTGTTGAATGCATTAGATTTGATATATCAAATAGTTACTTAGTCATGTCTCAGTAACTTGAATAACAAATAAATTACCTTCAAAGAAAGGGTATCTCAATATAATAACTGTAAAAAAAAAATCCACCTGATCTTAATTTATCAAATGTAGAAAATTGATAAAATAGGAATATTTATTATTTGTTTCCTTCTGAAAGGCTTCTGAGAACCCAAAATGGAAAGACAAACTATTATTATCATTTTTCAGATTTTTATGAAGGTGGTGTATACATAGGAAAAAGACATTTTTATTTTGTAATACTTCCAACTACTAAAAAAAAAAAATAGGATTTGCTCTCTACTTAAGATGATAGAATAATTAAAATCAGTCTTTTTAATACACTTTAGACGCAGGTGTCTCCGGATCCTGACTTGTGGTATTTTAACCTTTAGTTATTTAAACTCTCTGAAGTTTTTTTTTCTTTTGTAAAATGAGTATGATAATAATCCTGGTCTAAGAATTGTCATGAGAATTAAACAAGTTAGAATTTGCAGAGACCTTAATGCCTAGCACATAGTAAGTGCCACATAAGTGTTTGATAAAGAAAGTCTACTTGCACAGTATATGCACTACTATTTAAGAAAAGAGGCATTGGGTAAAGGCCGGTCTTAATTTTAAATGTATGTAGTGATCTTCTTTAAAAAATCATCTCAGGATAAAATTGTCTTTTTATTTTTATGTATTAAGTTCAGAATTTAATATGCAGAAATGGAAAGAATCTTTTTCATTTTTCTTTTTGACCCAGATAGAGACAGAGAAGGATTATATTTACTTTTACAGTTGGAGACAGATCATAAATTCATTCATGGTCAGGTTCCTGAAGGTCAAATCCTGTTCATGCCTCTTACCATCTGTGTGACCGTGGATGAGTTAAATTTTCTATATCTCAGTTGTAAAATATGGATAATCATAGTATCTGTTTCATAGGGCAGTTGTTAAGATTAAATGAATGAATAAAATTCTTAGAAAGTACATAACAAATAATAAATATTAACAGTTATTACTGATAGCAGTGGAAATTTTATTTTTAAAAAATTTAATAAGTATGAAACTAGTAAGCCACAAAGCTAACCTTTGAAATTGTCTTTTTATCAGCAAAGGAACTTAAACTTAGAGAAATGGAGTGATTTTATTTAAGTTTACGAAGCATGTTATAGAAGAACCAAGATCAAAAAACCAAGTTTTAAAACTTCTAGTTAAAAGTTTTGTCTATTCTATCAAGTACCTTTTCTTAAAACCTAAGTCAGTGTTTTTTCCTCAAGGTGATATTTTTAAAAGATCACTTGAATCAATAGTATATCTATTTGCTGCTTTGAAAATATGCTCAGATTTTTTCTGTTCTTAAATACAGTGCTGTTTATTGGCTATGCTGTTTGTACTGCCTCCATCGACAACTGCTTCAAAGAGCCATCTATATGCCACTTGCATGTTTTCATTCTCTTATATCTTAATTCTTTAAAAGTAGAATTCTACTGCCATACTCTACTAAGGAAACCATAGGCCATCATTTGCTTTCTAATTACCAAATTCATCCCTTTTTAACTCATTCTTCACCTTCTTAGCCTTTCCTCAGTACTTGATGTCTATTCTTTCCTTCCTGAAACCTGTCTCTCTTGGCTTCTATTGCTATTGCATACTTCTGTTTCTTCCCATATCTTATTTTTGCTTCTTCCCTTCAGTTTGTCTATTCTTTTTTTTTTTTTGAGTTGGAGTCTCACTCTGTCACCCAGACTGGAGTGCAGTGACTGTTCCTGGCAATCGCAGCCTCAACCTGCTGGACTCCGGCGATCCTTCTGCCTCAGACTTCCAAGGAGCTGGAACTACAGGCGCGCACTACCACACCCAACTAAATTTTTTTGATTTATTGTAGAGATGAGGTCTTGCCAAGGTGCACAGGTGGGTCTCGAACCCTCAGGCTCAGGCAATTCACTCACCTTGGCCTCCCAAAGCGTGGGATTACAGGCTGAGCCACCGAGCCCAGCTCAGTTTGTCTATTCTTTACCTTCTTGTGTGCTATATTTTCTCCCAACATTCTTACCTACTTCTAAGACTTCTCTCCATGAGAATGATTCTCAACTGCAGATGTTTTAAAAGTTGCAGATCTGCATATCTAATTACAATGAAAAAAAACTTTTCTGCCTATTAAATTGTGAGCTTAATACACATAAACAATAAAACATATTTTGTCTGATATAATTAAAAGATATCTTTACCTAAATATCTTTTTTACCTCAAAGTCAACATATTTCTTTTAAAAAACTTGTGTTTTCTTCCTTCTTCCTTTTCTTTTTCTTGTTTGCAATCAGCCTATCTTCTTGGTTTTATTACGGAGGTCATAAAGTTGGAAAACACAAACAGAATACATTAAATGGTTTATTGCTTTTACATGAAAATATGTGTCTGTTCAGTGTATCGTCCCTTATCAGCAATGCAGCTTAATATGCTGTTTAAAATTACAGGCCAGGCATAGTGGCATGTGCCTGTAATCCCAGCACTTTGGGAGGCCAAAGCGAGAGACTGAAGTAGGAGGATTGCTTGAGTGCAGGAGTTTGAGACCAGCCTGGGCAACATAGCAAGGCCTCATCTCTACCAAAAATTTAAAAAATTAGCTGGGCGTAGTGTCATGCTCCTGTAATCCCAGCTACTAGAGAGTGTGAGGTGGGAAGATTGATTGAGCCCAGTAATTCGGCCAGAGTGAGCTATGATTATACCACTGCACTCCAACCTGGGCCACAGAGTGAGACTCTGTATCTAAAAGTAAATAAACTAAAATTACAATGAAAGTGGCACATTAACAAAACCATTAATTTGTGCACATGCATCTGAGATGTGTTCCATCACACCTTATATGAATATTTATATGAATCCTTTGAATTGAATAGAACTGTCTTTACATTCCTCTGGAGAAGTAATCAGGAGGATTCAATCTGATTAAAACACATACATTTATAGATTTATGGCTCTTCTACGTTTTATTATTTATGTTATCATTCTTCTAAGCATTGAGGTTAAAAAAAATTTTAGTGTCTCTTCATTCCCTAAATCTAGTTTTTGTCAAGTCTTTTAAAATATTTCTTGCATACATTTTTTTCTTTTCATTCTATTGCCTTATCTCTTGTAATTTAAGTTCTTAGGACTTCTATTCTGAATTATTTCAATAGCTTTCTGACCAGTTTCCTGCCTCCATTTTTCTTCTGTTCCAGTTTGTCTTAGAGTGCAGTTCTGAGTCTATCACTGCCTAAATTAGAACTCTTCAGTGCTTCATGATTGCTCATAACATAAAGTTTAAGTTCTGTCTTGATTTTTTAAACACAACTCTTTGCAGCCCTTTACAGTTTTTGTTTTTGTTTTTTACTAGATTGTAAGGTGTTTTGAGGCTTGACTACACCTATTTATCTTTGAGTTCTAGGTGTCCTCTGCTTAGCTCAATATCATGTGTGTTCAAACAGTATTCTTAAATTGACATTACTTATATTAGCTAAGAAAGGGCAGTATAATAAATAGATTGGAAATATTGTTTGATTTGGAAAATGAAAATATATATTTTTAAGCTCTGATGCTTTTCTGGGAATATTCTGAATATAATAACAGAAAAAATATAGCCAGCATCTCCCAGAAAGCTAGAACATTTGTAAGCACAATTGGCATTCTCTGTTTTTCACTTACTAGTAAAGAACTAGCTGCATTTATGTATTTCTTATTTCCCCAGGTCAGGATAAAACAAAAGCCAAATTCTTCAGAGAACACAGTGAGGAAAAATCAGGAAGATACTTCTTCAATAAAGTCTCATAACCAAGAAATCACTGTTTGTTCGAATTCTCATCTTATCCAGCTTAAGAGGCATCAAGAAATCTGGTCTGTCCTAGAGAATGTTTGGATTACAATATATCAGAACAGGTACTAGAGTTGGGGGAATTTTTTAAAAATTTATTTTTAAGTTGACATTGTAATTATACATATTGGAGTATAATTTGACATTTTGATATGTATATTTATTGTATAATGATCAAATCAAGGTAGTTAGCATATCCATCACCTCACGCATTTGTCATTTCTTTATGGAGAGAATATATAATGCCTTACTGTTAACCATTGTTACTCTGCTGTGCACTAGAATACCAGAACTTATTTTTCCTTTCTAAATGTAACTTTGTACCTATTGACCAGCCTTTCCCCATTCTCCCATTCCCTCACCAACCCCCAGTCTCTATTAACCATTGTTCTACTCTTTGTTTCTATGAGATCAACATTTTTTTAATATTCGACATGAGTGAGATCAGGCAGTGTTTGTCTCTGTGTATGTGACTTATTTCACTTAACATAATGTGTTTCAGTTTCATCCGTATTGTCAAAAATGACAGGATATTTTTTATGACTGAAAAGTATTCCATTGTGTATATGTACCATATTTTCTTTATCCATTCCTATAAGATTATAATACCATATTTTTGGTCCCATAAGATTATAATACCATATTTTTTTACTGTCCTTTTTCTGTGCTTAAGTGTGTTTAGATAAACAGATACTTAGCATTGTGTTATAATTGCCAATAGTATTTAATATATTAGTAATATGCTGTATGGGTTTGTAACTTAGCCTGTACATATACCCTAGGTATATAGAAGGCTAGACCATCTAGGCTTATATAAGTATACTTAAGATGTTTGTACAATGAAATTACCTTAACAATGCATTTCTCAGAATGCATCTCCATCATTTAGTGATGAATGACTATATTACTGTTATTCATTGAATAGTTAGCGCTTGGATTGTGAGCTTAATGTATCAGATTGTCTTACTGAGGACCTTTTGTTAAGTTGGTATCTTAGAAATAGTGATGCTTAAATAGGGGTGCACATCAGAATTACCTGGAGAGTTTTAAAATATATATACTTAAGCTCTAGCCCTAGAGATTATGATTTCAGTAAAACTGTGGTGAAACAGAGGGAATGCATTAAAAAAAAAATCTCTCCAGGTGATTTAGATATGAAAACTTGATGAGAAGCATTGCCTATATATATCACAACCAATGAAAAATCACCTAGATTGGTTAAACAAATTAACAGGATACAAAGCCTTAATAAAATTGTGTGTTCTTTGGCCGGGCTTGGTGGCTCAGCCTGTAATCCCAGCACTTTGGGAGGCCGAGGCAAGTGGATTGCCTGAGCCTGCGGGTTCTAGACCAACCTGGGCAACTTGACAAGACCTCGTCTCTACAATATATCACAAAAATTACTCGGACATGGTAGCACGTGCCTGTAGTTCCAGCTACTTGGAAGGCTGAGGCAGAAGGATCATTGGAGCCCAGCGAGTTGATGCTGGCACAACTCTTGTGGTAGCTGTGAGTGTGCTACTGCACTCCAGCCTGGGTGGTGGAGTGAGACTCCAACTAAAAATAAAATTTGTGTATACTTTAAGAAAAGATCAGTCTTTATTAGGAAAAATTCATGTAATATTTTTAAAGGAAGATTAAATACTGGTTTTTTAAAAAAGGAAATACTGCTATTTAGTACACATAAATTTAAATACTACATTCTTTATAAATACTCTGGTCTTGGTAAAATGAAGAGAGAGAGACCTTTTGGGTTTTTTTTTTTCAGACTTCACAGGGATAAAGAAACTTTAAAAAGTAATATAAAAACCTCTGATTTTAAAGTAGATGAACACTCTTTTCTATACTTTCCCCCAAGCTCATAATCTTTGTATAATTAGTCAAACCAGTGCTTCATAGTATGATTTTGGTTCAGGGGTCCAAAACATACTTATTTTGCATTAAGATCATCTATTTGTTCTAAATGTTCACAAGAGTGGCAGAGCAATATTTGCACTCCACTTAAACATCTATTCTCGATTGGCTATTATAACATTGTAAATTTGGGTCTTGATTTTAGCCTTGACTAAATTTAAATTTTTTTCCAACAAAATATATGGCCTGTATGCAGACTTTATAACCATCATACTCAAGCAATGACTATATATATACCTGGCATGTGAACTAAAGAAGATACTATTTACAAATTTATATTTTCTTTTTTTGAGTTGGAATCTCACACTGTCACGTAGGCTGGCGTGCAGTGGCATGCTTTCAGTCACTGCAGCTTTGATCTGCTGGGTTCAGGTGATTCTTCCACCTCAGCCTTCCAAGTAGCTGGAACTACAGGCATGCACTAACACTCCCAGCTAATTTTTTTTTTTTTGAGTTGGAGTCTCACTCTGTCACCCAGACTGGAGTGCAGTGGCCGCTCCCGGCCACCACAGCCTCGACTTGCTGGGCTCCAGGGATCCTTCCACCTCAGCCTTCCAAGTAGCCGGAATTACAGGCATGCGCTACCACGCTTGGCTGATTTTTTTGATTTATTGTAGAGATGAGGTCTTGCTGCCCAGGCGGGTCTCGAACCCACGGTCCTAGGCAATTCACTCGCCTCAGCCTCCCAAAGTGCTGGGATTACAGACTGAGCCACCGAGCCCAGCTACAAGTTTATATTTTCATATAAAGTAAAAGTTTTATTTGTTTGTGCTTTCCATTCTTAACATATTCTTAAAGTTTTGGCTAGTCAGGTATTCTGGTTAGCAGAAAGTTACCATATATGCCAGTCAAGGATTACCATTTTCAAAATAATATAGACTAAAACTGTATCTAAGATATTTTAGTTTTCCTTTCATTTAGAAAGCATTTGAGTACTTTAAAAGTTTACCTATAAGACATGTATTTGAATTGGATACTAGAAAGTTCTGTGTAGTTTCTGGGTAATAGATTTTGCATAATTGAAAATTTCAGTAAGTAAAAAATGCTTATATTGCCTTATCAATACATATTTATTTAATCCTACTTCACTGTTTCTGAAGCCTAGTTGTGTACCAGAGACACTGTAGAACTTTTTCAACATTACCGTGTAGGGCCTTTCAGGGAGAGATGCCCATTTGGAAGTCTGGTAGATCCTATGCATAGTTTCTTATATAAAACTACTAGAGTGCTTTCACACAACTGGGAATGCCATCTTCTTGCCCTGAGCTTTAGTAAATCAGTTGTGAACTTACAGCATATTAGGTCAGGTTTTAAATGTCTTTCCTATTTACAAGAAATTTGGGTTAGTGTTAAGATACTATGTTAAAAAAAAAAACTTTCCTGCTATTTTTCATTTAAGCTTCTGAGACATCTTTTTAAATGTGTATTTTGAGTTTGCAATGAGAACTATAATTAAACATTATCTTTTACCTTTTGTCATTACTTTTCTCTGTGACTTAGAATTTTATTAATACCATGAGGCAGAACTAATAAGAAAAGAAATTGTTTTGACAGTTTATTGACTGATAGTTTTGTATAAATTGATGTGTAATAACCAATTTAATAATTTGCTTAATAATCTAGAATTAGTTCATCTGACAATAGATTGCATCTGTCATCTGTAACGCTGATTTGAAATGTTTATATCCAAAACCACTTCATTATTTTTTTCTATATTTTATTTTAAAGATGTGGGGTACAAGTCAGGATTAGGTATATAAGTAATGTACGTGCAGGTGAAGTTTGGACCTCCAGCTGGTCCTTACCTCCCCTGGTTTAGGATCAGGTACTCTTTGTGTTGTTACATGCTCCCCCTTTCCTTCTTCCCCTGGCAATGTCCATGTCCTGTGACTGCCGATCTCTCCCATGTGCTTATTGTGGTTAATGTTCAGGTCCCACTTATGAGTGAGAACATGGATATTTAGTTCTTTGTATCTGTGATAGGTCGCTAAGAATGATTGTCTTCAATTCCATTCAATTTGCTAAGAAGTCCATGATTTTGTCCTTCTTTATGGCTGCGTCATATTTCTTCATGTATATGTACCACATTTTCTTTATCCATTCTACTTCGATGGGCAGTGGGGTTGGTTCCATGTTTTTGCTATTGTGAATAATGTGGCAGTAAACATGCACATGCAGGTATCTTTTTTGTAGAACGATTGTGTTCCTGCAGGTATATATTCCCAGAAGGGGGATTGCTGGGTCGTATGGAAGGTCAATTTCTAGTTCCTTTAGATATTACTACACTATTTTTCGTAGAGGTTGGGCTAGTTTGCACTCCACCAAAGTGTAGAAGTGTCTTCTTTTCTCTGCACCTGTGCCAGCATCTGTTTTTTTCCTCTGCATGTGGTCAACCAGTTTTCCCAGCACCATTTGCTAAATAAGATCTCCTCTTCCCTGTGGTAGAGCCACCTTATTATTCTTAATGGCTCAGTTTATAATAAGGTAAATGTGCTGGGAGTGGTGGCTTGTGCCTGTAATCCCAGCACTTTGATTTTTTGTTGGCTTGTTTTTCATAACTATCAAAATACTAATTTTTAAAAAAATGTATTTATTTATTATAGAGTTGTGGGGTACATGTAAGGATTTATTACATAAGTAGGCTGATGCAGATGAAGTTTGGACTTCTAGGTGGCCTTCACTTCCCCTGGTAGTGGACCAGGTACCCTTTGTGTTGTCACATGCCCCCTACCCTCTTCCCTTCCTTCCTCCCCTAGCTGTGCCCAGGGACTACGAATCCCACCCTTATGCTAATGTGACTAGTGTTCTCACTCACTTATGAGTGAGGACATGTGGGATTCAGTTCTTTGTGTTGGTTTCCAACTGCATCCAAGTTGCTGGGAAGACATGATTTTGTTCTGCATTATGACTGTGTAATACTCCATCATGTATATGTACCACATTTTCTTTATCCAGGCCACTTTCGATGGGCAGCAGGGCTGGTTCCATGTTTTTGCTATTGAGCTAGTGCGGCAATAAACATGCATGTGCAGGTGTCTTTTTGGTAGAGTGATTTATGTTCCTCTGGGTATATTCCCAAGAGAAGGATTGCTGCATTGTTCAGTTTTTGTTATTTTTAGGGATTGCTACAGTGCCTTCCATAGAGGTTGAA